TAACTGCTATAGGATTTAAGAGGAGAAGGTGATCAAGGAGGACTGGAGGAATCAAAGAAATTTAGAAATCATCAAAAAAGATTCTGATTTTAGAGCTGAGAGGGATCATAGAAAAGATAGAAGAAAGAAAGATTCTGCCTATGAAGAAGTAACACTTCTAGTTTAACAAGCACTGAACTTGGAATTAGCAAAAAGGGTTCAGTTTCTGTTTTTGACACCAGAAAACTGTGTGACCATGGGCATGTCTCTTGGAGCCTCAATTTCCTCATCTATAAAATGTGGATAAACACCACTTACTTTGGTGTTCAGTCTTTTCAGTCATGTTCAACTCATCATGACCCCATCTGGAATTTTTGGCAGAGACATGAAGCGGTTTGCTATTTCCCTCTGCTCATTTTACAGATGAGGAAACTGAAGCAAATGAGATTAAGAGACTTGCCTTGGGTCACACAGCTACTAAGTGTCTGTGTCCAGATTTTAACTCAGAAAGATGAATCTTCCTGATTCTAAGCACTTTCCACTACACCACCTAGCTGCCCTAATATGTATAGTACCTATCTAACAGGGTTATTATGAATCTCAAATAAAATAATATTATGTAAACCATTTAAAATAGCCTTGAATAAATGCTAAAATGTCGGTTATTATTCGATTTTTGGGCAAAGGAAAGAAGAGAGATCATTCCAGGGTAAGGGAAACATGAGTGAAGGCATGAAGGTGGGAATAAACATGGCGGATTTTTGAAGGAATAAACAGATTGGACAGAGCAAACAGTTCCATGGAGATAAGCACTGAGAAATAAGGTTAAATTAATTGAATTTTTAGAATATGGCCCCATGTGGATGGCCTTGAAAACCTCAAATGTTTAGAGCTGATGCTAGGAGTGACATAATGAAGGAAAGGTTTAAAAACAAATTTATCTGGGAGCAACAGGTGGGATGGGTTAAAATGAGATGAAGATACAGTCACAGAGGTCAGCTAGCAGATGCTGAAGTTGTAAGGGACCAGCATAAGGTGAGACCATTGAGAAGAAAACAGGATAACATGGGAGAGATTTTAAAAGAAGAAATAGGGGCACAGTGGATAGACTCTGGCCTTGGAGTTAGGAGGACCTGAGTTCAAGTGCGGCCTCTTCACAAAATCCAGACTCAAATCCAGACACTTCACACTGTACACTTACTAGCTATGTGACCCTGGGCAAGTCACTTAACCCCAATTGCCTAAGCAAAAAACAAACAAAAAAAAAAGAAGAAATGACAGAACTCCATGATTGATTAAATACAGGGCTGAAGTAGAATAGCTGACTTTAAGTTTTTGAGGCTATGCGAGTAATAGCCACAGCAATGTCACTGACAAAAACCAAAACAACCAAAACAAAACAATGGAAAACTGGGTGGAGGGACTGCTCCTTTTTGAAGAGGAAGAGATATGTTTTGTCTTCTGACGTAAATTTGAGGTGACACAGAAAAATATAAGCGGATATGCCTCCAAAGCAGCTGTATACACAAGACAGGCCCTGAGAAACTGATTTGAGAGTCATCAATAGAAGCCGAAGCCATAAAAAGGTATATTTTTCTGGAAAAGAGGATAGAATAAGAAACAAAGACCACTGATAAGAGTCTTGGGAATGCCTAAAATTAGGCTGTGGAAAGAGTAGGAGTGGCTAACCACTGTTTCCAACCAAAGAAACAAAAAAGGCTCAGCTGTAGAGTTGGAGAAAAACATGACCAAAATAGGAGCTTCAAAAATGAAGAATGACCAGCAATGTTACAGTTTCAACAGAGTTCAAAAGTTCAAAGCTGAGAGAGTATGTTTTGCATTATTATTCAACTTGGAAAAAAATAAGAAAAAGGAAATTAGGCTCAGCCCACCCCAAAAATGGCTTAAACCACTTCCTTTGGAAATGTTTTTTTCCCTACTCAATCTAGAATAAAGCTATTTAATTAGTGGGAGGGAATGGGGGGGAATGTTTTTAATACATATCTTCTACTTATGAATCTCAGTTTCCTTATTTGTAAAAGTTCTATTTTACAATGACAAAAAATAAGGACATGACTATTACTGAATATTTTTGCACAGCCAAAAAGCATTTCAAAATATTTTAAAATCCCACTACACAAAACCCATTTTGTTATTTATCAAAATATGCAAACTGTCAACGTGACAATTCATAAAAGCATCCATCTGGTAATGTTTCTAAATAATATTCAGAGACTCAAACTAATTGCTGTTGGGGTAATGCATAAACTCATGGAACACTGCTGAGCAATGAAAAGATCTGTTTTCGAATTCACAGGTGTGATGGATTTCACCCCAGTAAAACCCAGTTTATCCTCATGGATTATTAGTAAAATACCTTACAAAAGATACAAGTGGTTTTGTTTGTTTGTTTAGTTACAGTTCTACTCTGGATGGGTTTGACCCCTTCAGTATCTCCACCTGAAGTCATATGTGGCAGATCAGCAAAGGCAAAATGCCCTAATCTTTGGTCTACCTGGTGTCACTGCTGGCAGGAAACTATCCCCTAGGGGAACATAAAATGGCTATGCAGAAAAAGCTTTCCAGTTCTTCTTCTTCTTCTTTTTTTACAATTTAATAATAGCTTGGTGTCAGGGAGGAGAATGGGGAGAAATAAGGAAATGTCAAACAATTAGAATCGAGATCCTTAAAGACGGTACAGAATTGGGTCCCAAAGAAACATGACATCCAAAGACTAATGCTTGAATTATGAAGGACTGGCTGGTTATAAGTAAAGTGTAGACATTCTGATAGATGCCATCCCACATCTTTTTAAGAGGCACTACAACAATTCTTTTTTGTGGAGACTAGCCAAAAGGCCTATTTCCTTATTTTTTCAGATGAAAGGATATAGAACCTATACTACTTGGTATTTTTTTTCCTAATAAAAGCGCCAATATACTCACCTGGGTTTCCCCTAAGGCTAAACCTTCTGAGTCAGGGATGGGGAACCTGTGGCCTCGAAGCCAGTGTGGTCCTCTTGGTCCTCAAGTGCAGCCCTCTGACACAATACAAACTTCACAGAACAAATCCCCTTAATAAAAGGATTTTTTTTGTAAAACTTGGACTCATTCAAAAGGCCCCTCCCAAAGACCTAGAAGGCCAAGTATAGTCTTGAGGCCTTGGGTTCCCTACCTTTGCTCTAAGTCTTTGACCAAGCATCTCCTGCTATACCCTGGCCACTAATATCAAGGTAATTCAACCTTAATGATCCAAGGTGCTGGTCTCCAATTTTAGTACAAAAGCTGTTTCTGTGATTAATTTGGAGTATGTACATGCATTCTGACCAAAGGATTATACAGAATGATGGCTTCCCTAGGACTTCCTCCCACTTTTTTTTTTAAATTAGATCACAGAGGTAAATCAAGGAAGGCCTCTAGCAAGTTCAGCAGACCCTCCTGTGGGCTTGGGCAGGCATGGATGAGTATACGTACCTATATACTGACTAACCCACAAAGAATCACAGACCCATTTTTGTATTTTGAGTACCAAGCATTTCACCATGAGTTGACAGACCATTTAAGATAACGGGACCAAAAAACAGCTTTCAAGGTTATGTTTACCTCTGAGTTGAAAAGCATTTTGATTTCTGGCACTGAAAATTCTGTAAGTAAATTCAGAGGTCATACAGGAAATACCCTGTGCTGAGAGTTTTCATGAACAAGTCTAAATACCTGTTGATATCATGTCCTTTGCTACCTCTTCTACAAGGTATTCATAATTAATAAATCTCCTTTGTTGAGGCTGCTTAAATTAAACCAGCACAGGTAAAGAAAGGAGCTGCAACAAAAGCTAGCCAACAGCAGCCCCTTAAGAATGGGTCTAGGTTCTCCCAATTTTCCTCTTGTTCTTAAGGGTTTGAACCTCTTCCTAGGGCAAGAAAACTAAAAAAAATAGTTCAGAACATAAGATAACCACCCTCTTGGACTTTTCTTGGCAATATCTCTCCCTTTTTTTTCCCATCCTCAAATATTTTCTTGCCACAGAAGTAGGTGAGGGAGAAATGAATGCAACAAAGTCTTAAAACAGGAATAAAAATATACCAGCACTGGTATTTCAATGAGAGAGAGAGAGGGGAAGGCAACTGTAAGACCCCCCCCACCAAACCCAAGTAGTTGCACAACTGGATACCCCCCAGGGCTCTTTTCCATATATACTGCAGGATTCCAAGGTGTACCCTAGCCCTAGATGATGCCAACTGTTGCTGCTCGTAGACACACACACATCTTATACCCACATAAATATGCGGTTGCACACATGTAACTAAGCTGCTGCATGTCTGTAAATAAAGTGGCACACAGAAATGGTCACCTCCAACAGTTCCCTGTGGAGCAAGGAATGCTGGAGTAAACAACTGGGTTCAAACCCCAGCTCTGTAGCTTACTAGGTCATTTAGTATATGACCAAGGCTCACTTTCTCTGAGCCTCAGTTTCCTCATTTAAAAAGAGTGGGTTGGCCTGAGAAGATGGACCACCTAAGGCCCCCTCTACCCCAGGATCTACGACCCTGTATTTTGTTGGTGTCAGGTCCACAGCCTACATCTGTGACTCCTGTACATGTCTGCCTGCCTTAGTTTCCTCACCTGTAAAATGAGTGGGTAGGCCTAAGAAGATGATGCATGACTTCTCAGCCCTTTTTCAGACCCTAGATCTTGTTGGTGTGGGGTCCACAACCTGCATGCTTTACCTCTGTGCAAGGCTGCTCTGCCTCAGTTTCCTCATCTGTAAAATGAGTGGGGGTTGGCCTAAGGAGATATGGCTTTTTTCTAAGGAGGCCTCCTCTAGCCCCAAATCTATGACTCCTAGATCTTGCTGGTGTGGGGTCCACAACCTGCATGCCCGCAGATGGTGCATGACCCCTGCGCTGGGCTGTCTGCCTCAGTTTCCGCCTCTGTAAAATGGGGTGAGCAAAGGCCCCTGACCCCGCAGGCGGACGAGGGTCCCCCCTCGGACCTCCGCCGCCCAGCCCCGGCCCCACTGACCTGAGATGCCTCCCCCTATGACGACCACGTCGCACTTGTGGGTCGGGAGGTTGACGCCGTCCATTCTCCTGGAGGTCGGAGGAGTGGACCTCGCCGAGGACGCCATGCTCACGGCTGTGTGGGTTCCGCTGAGAGATTCGGTCTTGGGGCAAGAGGGGAAAGTGGGGTTGGGGCCGGTCAGCGGGGGTCCGGGGATGCGCCCGGCCCCGCTCGGCTGCGCTCGGCTCGGGCTCGCCCGCTCTGCGCTGCGTTGCCGGACTGCTGCCTGCCCGCGCCACCCGGAGCGCCAGGGGGGGCACGACTCGCCCGCTCGCCCCGCCCCTCTAGGCTTCTGTGGTGCTCGCTCCCGTGCTCCCCAGCCACAGACCGAGCCGCAGCCTACCTCGCTCCCCTTGCTCCCCTCTCTCCCCTCGCCCCCTCGCGGTCTGCCCTGGGCGTCGCGCGCACCTCGATCTTATAGCCAGAGCCGGGCGGCGCCCGCGCGGAGCTCCTCCTGCTCACCACTGGCGGAGGGGAGGGGCGTGGCGAGCCGAAAGGGACCGGTATCAGGTAAAGCCTGCCCTGGCACGGCCGCGGCGGCGGAGCCCCAGCCTGGCACGCGTGTCATAGGGCGAGGGGCGGCGAGACGGGCTCACTCGGGCTGCGAGCCCAGTGGAGGGCTCATGGGGGAAGGCTTGGAGGAGGGGCCGCGACCGCGGCGGCGGCCGCGGGAAGCTCCTCCTGGCACGCGCCACCTGCCCCGCGTACTGAGCATGCCCAGCGCTCAAGGCCGGACCCTCGCGAAGCCCGGCCACAGGCCGCGGGCCCCGGGGCTCCAAGGCCCCGTCCTAAGGAGAGGCAGCGGGGCGTCCGGGCGGGCCATCCCGGGGAGGCCGGAGGAGAAAAGGGCCGGGGGCGAGGCCGAAAAAGGGAGAGACTCCTGGAAAAGCATAACCAACCTTGATCTTCGCTTGACCTCTTGTCTGCACGAAGCGCGGGCTCCCTTTGTGATGTCACTTGCCTGAGCGCCACCCCCCCCACCGGGTGCAATGCAGGGGGCACTAGTGTGACCTGGAGGCAGAGCTGTAAGGAGCATAGCGAGTCTGGCCCGCGTGAGCCGAAGGGCCATTTGGTTTTAGAGGTTTGTTGGTTTTTCAAGCCCAAGAGTTTAACCCAAGCTGAATAAAAGCTAGAAGAAATCATGGAATTGTACTTAAAAAAAAAAGCCAGATGGAAGTTGTAGTTAAGGTTAAGGGATAAATTAAAGAACACAAAAGCTATAAAACCAGAGCTTTCTATTTAAAAAAAAAAAAACACCACCACCACCATGGAGAGCAAATGTCTTTAGAAGCAGTATGTGCCAGAGTTAATACTAGAGAGGTCTTTAAATGGAAAGACCACTGTCAGAGGACCTGGGTCCAAATTTCAGTTCTTCCACTTTACCTTTGTGACTGAATAAATCACTTAACTTCTCCAGGACTCAGTTTTCTCAACTGTGAAATGAGTGGATTGGACTCCAGAGTCACACCCAGCTCTAATCTATGAGATCCTATAGAAGATGGCCTTGAAGCTTATCAAGCCCCACCTCTGGCACATTCTCATGTGATGGTAACCTTTCTGCACCCTAGACAACTCTCACAAGATTATATATGAGCTGCAGAAATGGTGCTGATGTTATTGCTGGAGGATGCTGGTAATTAGTATAAAAGTTGAAATCAAAAGTCTCATTTTTTAAAAAATGATCTGAAAAAATGATTGGTTTGTGATCTCATCAAATTGCATATCTTCTTTAATGATTCAGATCACAACTGGTACAACCCTTTCATGTTCTTCTATAAATCTGCCAATGTGCTAGGGGCTTCTTCCATCTCTTGGGATTGAGAAGATACCAATGGACTTCAGTATCCATCCTCAGCTGTCTATCAGTTATCACTCAACTACCCATGATAACAAACTGAAGCTATACTACTCCTTACAAATTTGCTTCCAGGGACGATAACATTTCCCTCTTGAAGTTGAGTTTAGCCCTTTCCCGTGCTCAGAAACCTCACCACAATATGTATTATGGTCATGAATCAATAGTTTAGTACATTAAGAAAAGAACCCTGTAGGATCAGTCAATAAACATTAAGCACCTACTCTGTTCCAAGCACTGTGCTAAGCACTGAAGGGTCAAAGAGAGGTAAAACACAATCCCTTCTCTTGATCAGCTCATAATCTGTGTCTCCTCAAACACCATGCCTAATCCGTAGTAAAGTCTAAACTTGCTGCCCTCTCTCCAAAGGCTTGTAAAAAAAAAAATTAGAATGGTTATCTCACCATATGTAGCCATGCCCAAATAATTGTTGTAAAAAGTTTGATGAAAACATTTTGATGGTATTTTTTTTTAAATTTTAATTTTATTTAATAGTTCTGCTTAGACATTACTAATCACTCACATTGGTCCTATGATAATTGTGTTGTATCATTCTAGTGTCTTTCCTCCCAATAATAATAATTGTGAAGGATGTTACACAACGCACATATAACTTACTTTACATGGTAGTTTGTGTGCCTTTAAAATCCATTCAGAAATGGAATCATCCTTTAAATACATGAGAGCTTACTTTTAATAAAATCCTTTGGTGATTATCCCTCCAAAGCTGCAAAAACTAAAACATTGGGGCAGAATGATTAAGGAAGTATGGCATAGAGTCAAGACGTAGGTTTGAGTAAGCAGAATCAGTACAACATTGTACACAGTAACTTCAATATTGTACAATGATCAACTTCAGATTAGCTGTTTTCAGCTGTCAATCAGATCGAATCCACCTCTAACCTGTGTGGCCTGAACCAAATAGAGCAGGCTTCAGACAGGAGAATCAGGAATCAAACAGAAGTTTAATTTCAAAGTGAGGGCAATGGCTTGCAAGCAAGGAGGTAAATTAACCCCTTATACCTACCCCTCGCCCCTATTCGGGGAGGAACCACTTTAGTGTGCCTGAACCTGGATTTATATAGTTGTGGCTAGACAAAGAGTCAAAACAGTGTAGTGTAGCAACAGTAGTGAGGCACAACACCAAGAGTGAGGCAAAGTTGTCCAGGGACAAAAGGTCCATTCATAGCAGGGCTTCAAGTCTAGGCCTGATGGTGCTTGCCCAAGTTCAGGGACCAACAATTCCAGAAGGTGAGCGCAAAGGATTGTTGTTATGATAAGCTCAGGGCACAGCTTGCTTGCTGGGCCTTAACTCTGGAAAACAGGGTGTTGCCTAATAATATCTTGGCACAGCAATACAAATATCCAAGACAATTCTGAAGGATTTATGATGAAAAGTCCTGTCTACCTCCAGAAAAAGAATTGATGGAATCTGAATGCAGATTGAAGCATACTGTTATTTTACTTTATTTTTCTTGGTTTTTTTTCCCCTATGTTTTCTTTCACAACATGACTAATATGGAATATGTTTTGCATGACTGCACCTGTATAACCTTTATCAAATTGCTTGCCTTCTCAATGATGGGGGAGAGAAGGGAGAGTGGAAGAGAACTTGGAACTCAAAATTATAAACAAAAAAAAAAGAAAGTTAAATGTTGTGTTTTTACAGTTATCTTTTGCACATTGTGGGGCATAGGGGCTCAAGACCCTAACAATCTGGAAAATCTGTGTAAAATTTTTTGTCCCTCCCTTCCTATCTGAAAAATGGTATTAAAAGATCAAATATGTTGATATTATACAATGTTATACACGTATTTTATGCATTTCTGAGTTTCTAAACTTTTTCTGTGTCAACTGTGGCTTCCTCAAAACTCCCTCAAAATTTCTATTTAATTTCTTATGCTAGCCCTCGATGTATCAAAATAATGATGGGGAAAGTCACAATACAGAAGGGATAGCTATACATGTAATTGTAAAAGAACAAGATATTAAAAAATGTTTTAAAAAATTTTTAATGTGGGTTTGTATCCCAGTTCTGATACTTTACTCCCTACATGGCCATGAGCAAGTCATTTAATTTCTTTGAGTCTCAGTTTCTTTGTCTGGAACATGGGGATAAGATGCTTTCATTGCTTGCTTTAAAGGGGTGTTGAGGAAAATGTGAAGTGCTACATAAATAGACTTCTTATGGAGAAAATAAGAAATCCAAAGAAAGGAATTAGAGGAGAGTACATAATCACAAGTTTATATGAGAATAGCAAAGTTCTCAGAATGAGTAGTTATTATTTTACTAGGTTCCCCCGTTAGTTTTCTTCCTAAGTAGGTAGGCCTTGAGAAGGTGGCAAGCAGTGAGGTTAAGCCTTACCCCTTTACTATCCTATAGCCCAGTGATCTCCAAAGTAGGTTCCCATTCTCCCACCCTTTATGGCTATCTAGTGGCAGTTGTTTGATCTTAAGGTGTGTGTGATCAACCAATAGGAGGGCAGGAAAATGAATTATGTCACACCTTCCCTCCACCTTAGCCAGGGGTGGGTGTGTCTCTTACACAACTATATCATCCCCTTCAATATTCTCACTCCATCCCCTCCCATCATAGGCCTTCCTTCTGTGACTGCATCCCCTCAAGGTGGTTATAACTGAACCTAACCTAGGCACCTGCAGTACCTGTGCAGCAAAGCTTTGACTCCAGCCTCAACCATTCCCTGTCCTCTTCCCCCATCATCTCACAAATGCCCCAGGAGAGAGGCTCTGCCCTTTGGGGCAGAAGCCAGTGAGTAAGCCAACCATACCCCATGCCAACCGTACCCCCAAACAGTGGGAAGGAATGAACAACATAGGATGGACAGGCATATAGGCTTTGAGGACAGTATTTTTAGAGCAGCTAGGTGGTACAGTGGATATTGGACTTGAAATCAGGAAGATTCATTTTCATGAGTTCAAATCCAGCCTCACACGTTTACTAGCTGTATGACCCTGGGCAAGACAAACCCTGTTTGCCTCAGTTTCCTCATCTATAAAATGAGCTGGAGAAGGAAATGGCAACCCATCCTGGTATCTTTGCCAAGAAAACCCCAAAATGGGGTCACAAAGAGTCAGACGAGACTGAAATGACTCAACAATAACATAATCTTTCCTCCAAAGCTCGCCTGTCTTCTGAACTTCCCTATTTTTATGGAAATAGATATATCCTTTCTGTCTCCTTGGTCCTCATCCTTGTTATCTTTGACTTCTCAAACTGAAATGAATCTACTCTCTTACAAGTCACTAGTGCTCATGTCTTTATTATTAAATCTGACAGCCTTTCCTTAATTTTGATCTTTCTTGACCTCTCTGAGGAATTTGACACAGTTTACTACCTTTTCCTCCTGGATATTCATTCTTTCTTCTCCGGGATGTCCTGACACTGCTTTATCTAGGATCTCCTTCTACCTGTTTGGCCTCTCATTCTTATCTTTTTTTTTTTTTCTGAATACATCAGTAAT